TGATCTCTAAATAACAGTTGTTTATGGAATGTTTACAAGACAGTTGGTTGCGCTTGAGTGCCCACTGAAGCCAGTTTGAACTGGTTGATGTGGTGAGGGTTAAACTGACCATTTCGTACTTGACCAGTGGGTGTATCAGAATTTAAATGGATGGATACCAACACCTCGGGTCTAATATGACTCATATTGCTTATGACGTCAATCGGTAACAATAAGTTCTGGAAATTGCCATATTTGGAAATGACTGATGTTTTGTAAATAGATGATCACATCATCCCTAATTTTGTTCAATTTCAAAATGACTAGGTTTAGGAGGCTGATAATTTAAAATTAATAAATAATTGCTAATAACTTTTTAAAAAAAGAAAGATTTTTGCCGAAGTAATAATTTGTTTGTATTTATTTTTTACAGGAGTTTGCTAGATGAATCCATGAGTGATGAAACAGAAGATGTCGTCGACATGCCATCAAACAAGAAAATTGCCCTGCATGAAATCAACACATCCCGCTATAATGAAGAGTTCTATGAGGTCTGCAAGCTCGGTGATGGAGAATTCGGTAGCGTGCACAAGTGCGTCCACAGACTTGATGGTTGTACTTACGCCATCAAGAAGTCAAAGACCCCAGTAGCAGGCAGTGTCTATGAGTAAGTATTACAGTCATAGTTTAATTTTTATAAGTAAGCAATAATTATAATTCAAATTGTAATAAACTATTTGTGAGTGTGACATGTAAGTGAACAATATGCGTTAAGATTTTAATGTTTCTGCTTATCTTTTCCAGACGCAATGCAATGAACGAGGTGTACGCCCATGCCGTCCTTGGAAAGCATGCACATGTTGTGAGATACTACTCCGCATGGGCAGAAGATGACCACATGTTTATACAGAATGAATATTGCAATGGTGAGTGCAAAGCAATTTAACAAAATGATACCAGTTTTCAAAATAAGATCAATCACTATGTCCTTAATATATTTGTAAGGATAATGTGTTGACATATAATCTCGATTTTTGGTATTAATGTGATATTTCTGTTTGTAGGGGGAAGCTTAGCTGACATCATCGAAGACAACCGGAGGTCGGGTGGTCATTTGATGGAATCTGAACTGCGACAGATCCTATACCAGTCCTCCCAGGGACTCAAGTACATCCACTCACAGAACCTGGTCCACCTGGACATCAAGCCTGGCAACATCTTCATCCACAGAAACCCCAAGTTCCTGGCCTCGCCAGAGAGTGGGATGGAGTCATGTGAAGAAGATGAAGAGCGAGAGGAGGCAGTCACATATAAAATAGGTATGTTTTGTGATTATTCAGAAATGGACTAATATAACAGAAGAACATAGTAAAAAATTAAAGAAGTAAATTGAATCATAAATTTTGAATGTTTATTATAAATGTTTGTTTTCTGTGTTTCAGGTGACCTTGGTCATGTGACATCAGTCAGTAACCCAGTGGTAGAAGATGGTGACTGCAGATATCTGTCCAGACAGATCCTGAAAGAAGACTTCAGTCATCTATCAAAAGCTGACGTATTCTCTCTTGGATTGACAATATTTGAAGCTGTAAGTATCCCCCATATGCATAACAATATATAAAAAAAATATCATATCTATCTTGTTATCATCATTTAGTTTTCTTTAGAAAACCACAATTTGATGTTTTTCTTGTGCTTATCTGATTCATTCTTTGTTTAGGCTGCCTGCAAGGAGCTCCCAAAGAATGGTGATGTGTGGCATTCCATACGGGATGGCCACCTCCCAAGTCTACCCCAATATAGTGCAGAGTTCCACAGCCTTCTCCAGAGCATGGTGTGTCCTGATCCCCGGGACCGTCCCTCCGCCCAGTCCCTCACTGTGCACCCGCTTCTGTGTCCCCAGATACAGATGACCAAGGCACAGTTGAGGAAAGAACTGAATGAAGAACGATTCAAGAACCAACTCTTGTCAATGTAAGTAACCTCAAAACACAACCCATTTAAATACATTTTAGGAGTTTAGTAACTGTTTGTGGTAGTTCTGGCATGTCCGTACCATCATGTAGCAGTCTAACTTGTATTATATCCTATTGGATTTATTATTCTTTTTACTATTCATACCTCTGTAGATGGTTGTGTGACATTGTCTTGTTTTTTGTTTCCAGGAAGCTGATTGAAGCCACACAGTTCATGACCCAAGTCAGTCCTCTAGCAGTACCAGTTGTAGCCAGTGCAAACCGAGTGCTTCCAAGATCAAGTCGGCTTATCGGCAACAAGATGAAGAGAAGCATGAGTTTATCTGCATTTTGAGCGTCAAACCACGGTTCTCCCTCCCACGATGTGATACTAATGTGCTCTACTTTTTATTCTTGGTTCATCCAAGCCCCAGGCTGTGACTAAAGTGCAAACAATGACTTCTACATGTGCCAGAAGATTGTATATATTAATAATGTGGACACAGGTGCTCTTGGTGACTTTTACGTGAGGATGGATGGATGAAAAATGTGTGCTGCAGAGATTCCAGAAACTGAACAGTGATAATTATGGCTGGAATTTTTTTCCATGCATGTGATAAGCCAGAGGATGTCTGGATCCCAGTGCCGAGTTCCTGAACAGACATTAGTTCACCACATTTCCTATGTAGCAAAATTCTAAACTATGTATCTTTTCTATCTGTCGGTTGTAATACTTTTGTAGTATTTCCTCATCTTTGGAATGTCATTCCGAGTTATATTATTTGATCTGAATCGAATAAGGTATTAAGTTCTTGAAACAAAGTTTGTTACGTTTGAAGTGTCAGTTGTTGTAGACATGGTGCTGTAAAGATTCACTTGTGGCGGTGCAATGCCTGAGGTGGCTGTTTACTATTACTTCAATCATGATTTGTAATTCTCTTGTCTAGTAGCTGAATATTGTTAGGGAATTAATTATGCCAAAGATGTTAATGTACAATTTTTGTAAATAAACGAATGACAAGTGTCAAAGAATAAAACAAAAAATCAAGAAATAAAAAAATCAAAGAAATAAATTTCTGACTTTTGTGATGTATACCTCATGGAAATATAAGCTTCTAAACTTTTGACAGGGATATTCAGGATACAGTTTATTGTGAAATATTAGCTTGTATCCCTATCAAAAGTTAGTATGCACATCTGGATTTATGCAGAAAAAGTTAATAACTACCATAACTGCGTAGATCCAGTCCCCCTCAAAAAACAAAAGCAATATTGGGTTTCCAACAGAAACAACTATTGGGGGTTCTCTAACATGGAGAATTGGGATCAACAGTAATATTGGGGGGACACAGATGTTAACTTCTTGACTGCTTGTTGGTCAACTAAAAAGAAACTGCCTCTGGTATCTATATTTTCATTTTTGTCCAAACAAGACAAGATGTGTCCTTGTTTAAAATCAATATTTTTTATTGTATTTAAGAGTTATTGGGCCAAATTGGGTGGAATCTGGATGGAGGGGTGAACAACCTTGGAAATGACCAACAATTTCTAATGTGTTTATGAGGTAACTACTCATTTCAGCTGTTTTCTTTAGCAGGAATCTGTTCTGTGCCATGCTAAGGTGCAAACAATGTATGATAACTGCACGATTTAGTTTTGGAATAGATGGTTTTTTTCAGTGGTGCACACCCCCATTCGCTGGTATCAGGAAACAGTGATATGAACAGATGCTGCATTCGTCCTGCTGAGAAATCAATTGATATTTCAGTGCTGTCAGCACAACTAACAGAAACAATGCCGATGGTAATGCAAGTCTTGCAAACTGGCAATACATAAGTTTAACAACAATCAAAATTTGTATTGAACTTAAAAGCTGCAGATGCAGAAATGCCACAAATAAAGCCAGAACAATTATTAGAGATTTGTTACAATATACCGGGTACTGACATGTTATGGATGCACTTATTGCAGTTTTAAAAGTTAATATTTATTTCACACATATTTTCATCTAATTTTCAGGTCATGCCAACACCTGACAACAATAATCTATTGTCAGTCGTGAAAACAATGGATTTCAGTGCTTCAAAGGCTGTCAACAGTAGCCTATTGTTTGCCATACCTTTGAAGATTATGCCACATCTAATTACAAGGCTTCACTCAACCTAATTAAGCTCAAAGGATTGTTGTGTTAACTTCCTCTTTGGTTTTCTAAGTGAGCCTGTCTTTAATTACCCAAACAATAGGATGGTGTGAAGTGAACCTGACACTGATCTCTGTAGCTAATGAATCTAAATGTTTTCACAGTTCACAAGCTTCACAATCTGTTATGAAAACTGTGTAAAGAGGATTTGTATAGCTTTCTATGCTACCGTGAAGGGTGGCATGCTTACATTTCCTGACTGAGCAGTGTGCACTTTAACCAAAGGATAATAAGTTAAATTGATCTTTTGGGGGGTGTTTTGCTATTTAAAGTGGTATATGCCTTGACACCTAAATGTTGGCTTTATTTATGCAAAGCTGATGGGTGAGGATTACTGTTACATTTTCAATTGGAACCGACAATTCCCTATGTTTTTACAATTTCCTGTGTTCAGGTCTTTGTCACATTTGTGAATGCCTTAAAAACCAAATAGATTTACTAGTATTTAATTGAATTGTGTAAATGATGTAATATTTAATCCAGAACGGTTTGGACATTTATTAGAAAAAAGATGAAACTTAAAGTCAAGTCCATCCTTTCCTGATTTAGAGCAGCCTTGTTTGTGACATGAGAATCCTTGAAGTGTGGATGTGTCAGTAAAGGATTACTGTTATACTAACTTGATGGAAACAACTGCCTGTCCAGGCAATAAAAGTCCACCACATCATACTCTGACCTTTTCAACCTATCAAAGTGTCACAGTTTATGGTTTTTACCATGATGGACTGGTCAGATAAAGCAGTTGTGCTTCTAAGTCACTAAAACTCTCATCAATGCAGTTTAATGCGTCTCATGAACTTAAACCCCTTCTTTAAATAGTGTACATCTCAAACTATTTCCTTTTAATAGTGATGACAAAGCTGAGGTAGATCAAAAATATATTTATTGTTTCAACTGTAGGCTGAAGCACACAATTATTCAACATGAATAAAATCTCAATAAAACAAGGATAAATGATGGCTCTGTTTAAAATTACAATAAATTATTGAGGGACTATTGAGAAGTGTTGATGGCAGTAAGGGTATTGCTGACCACCACACAATTCCTGCCGCTAATGATTCTGTTCTGTCAAGAGCATTTCAACAATATATCAAGCGAAGCCATGAAGCCATCAGCTATGTGAAAACCTTTAAATTTCATGTTGAACTACCACAACTCATTCGTAAATGATTTTCATCCCATGTAATGTTAAACAACCGAGAATGAGAATATGAAATACATTTACATTATTCAAAACCTTTCTGAAAAAGTTGTGACGCAATACATATTTATGACTGCATCCTTTCCTTTTTCTCCAGCGGCAGATTTACTGTTAGTTTTGAGAAATATTGTCAGAAAAGCATCCTGTGGCACTATTACTGTCTTCACTGCGTCTTGATACATTCATGAACTGGCACTGATGTCGTTATTCTGAAGTACTTCATATAACTTACAAAATCTTGCAAAAACTTCGAAAAATCGAAAAAGTTTGAACTTGATTTGTAAATAAATATCACAGAAATGTCTGGGCATTGAATATAAATCACTATCTATAATAGTAGACATGAAATATGAAAAATCACAGCTAAGTATGTTCATCAAGAAAACCACCACGGATGTCTTATATTCATGTGACCGTGTGATATAAAAAAACCATTTTGATTGCCAAAATCCTTTTTCCAATTATAAACAAGGAAATAATTGCCATCCATACAATACAGGAAACACGATAAACAACTCAAGCACTTTTTTAACATAATCTTTTTGTGTTGTTTCTTTATGATAGATGCATTTTAGTGTTAAATATCACATTCACATTTTGAAGCATACACGGAAGCTTATCTGTAAATCTCACAGTAAAGTAAAGTACACAGTTTATATATTCTGTTGTATGTCATAATGTATATATTTAAGGGCTTAACTCACTGAATGTTTGAATGTCATCGATCAAATGAAAACCCAAATGATGAGGAATTACATACTATGCCAAACTGATTTCCTATAATAAACTACATTGTGTGAAATGTGTCAATAAAATACATTCTTAGGCTCTCATAATTGTTTGAGAAATGTTTCAATGAAAGTGGGTGATACACAAATTGGATAAATCTTTTTGTCTGGGTGTTAGAGATGTTAAAATCACAATGTATGCAATGTGCCCTGAATTTTGATGCTTCCACATTTCAACAAGTTTGGTTGACAAACATGATTCACCAAATGTAACTTTATTCTACAAGAAGATATATATATATATATAAGGGATTTTCTATGAATAAGTGATAAGTTTGTAATGCACTTTGGAGATGATTTAATGCACTTAATCAATATGAAAAATTCATTACTGTATCATATGAAAATAGTTAATGAATACAGTTGTGTTCTTTATTAGATGAATAAACACAAACATGTTGTAATATTAATTAATCAGCACCCTAAATAGTGTTCAAAATAAAGGGGGTGACAGAGGTTTGCTCCTGTAGTATTTGAATCTAGGGACCTCCTAACTGTTTACCTCTAAACAAGAGTTATGACAGGGACCCCCTGACTTTGGTGTCTAATTTCGAACACTGCTAAAAGATATCAGAATAAAATAACAACATGTTAAGGTCAAGACAAATGTACACACCTTTGCAGTTACAACCCACTTCACCAAATTTCTGTAGCAAACCTTTGATGGAGTACCTTTAGTCTCAGATGTTCTACAGTCAATCAGTGGAAGCGACTAAAATGCCATTAAATTGGGGGACTGGATAGTTTTATCCTCCCTACTCAGATTAATCATGTTGATATTGGATCACTTTTAGAATGTAGCACATTTGGAGTAAATTTTGTGCAGATTAACCTTCCCATCTGAAGTAAAGGACAAGTTTTGATTCAGAGCTTTACTGCTTACTGTAAATGGCAAATGTTAATGGTTTATAAATGCTAGCTATTGTTACTTATATATCTGACAAGTCTTTCAATCACATAATTATTTTAAGAATTTTGGGTATATATTTCCAAAATTAACCCCCAAGAAGGTGGATTTAGATTTTTTAAAGAAAAACCTCTACTTGCAAGTGACCAAAGAATTATTTTTCAATATTTCTTTTGCAACATGTAGGCATCCTGACCTAATCATCGGCTCACCAAACATTACCACCAATAAAACATTAGTTTCCAATTTGTGCTATCTAAACACCCAACTTCACTTGCTTACATTATGTGCTGTCAACTATCAATGCTACATGGATGGAGATTCACAGCTAATAACAAAACTTCTGTTTCCCAATCACCTATTATCCATGCGTATCTTCCCATGTCCCTTACACATATTTGTCAGTTTTTATTATCATGTGAACAGGTGAAGTGGGCTGATACCAACTTTGGAATAACATCAGTCACTTTGTGTACATTTTAAAACAGAAAGGCCATGATGAAATAAACATCCTTAGACATAGCTTTTCTACACATAATAAATTGTCATATTCTTATTAGAAAATACATCAGAAAATCATTCTGAATGCATGTCACTGGCAAAGTAGAACATGCCGCTCAAGGCTTATGTTGAGATAAGAAACAATTAATTGACTAGTACACAGCACTATCTTCAAAACATTGCAAAACATTTTTGATTTTTTTTTTTTTCACAAATACTATGGTAAAACTATTTGAGCTGTGTCAGTATCAACTGAATCACCATTGAAATTCTACTGAATTCTTGTAAACAAATTGATTCAACTAGAGGTTGAAGACAATACAACACACTAAAATTCACATAATATCAATGAGATGACAATTTTGATACTTTGTACAATATGATATAATACAATATAGATAGATATATATAAGCTTGTGTTCTATTTCATACCATTTACAGGCAATATAAATAGGTTTGGCTAATAAATAGAATGCACACAATCACAGCATGTAGCCAGTCTTCCAAGGCTTGAAATATACAGTTTCTTCACTTGACCATGATGACAGAGCACAACCTATCTCATCTGTACAACCTGAGAAACCAGTGGATCTGTGAGCTATTATCAGGGTTCTTCTCACACTGAAGAGTCTTTGCCTGAAGGTAAGGAATACCTTCCACGAGTCTCAAAACCAGCAACAGCAGTAGATTTGGTTGACAAAAACCCATCTTCCACCACCCAGGTATTGGGAACCATATATTGACCAAGATAATCAACAGTAGATGGATCTGGTTTGGCAATGATCAACATCTAATTCGGAGAGTCAAACCCAACCAAGGTTATCCAAGGTTGATCTTTCTGAACTGGCTAATATGAACATGCATTCCTCAGAGTTGGAGCCAAATATGGATGAGGGTTATCCAAGGAAGACACTGTTCACTGTTGGGTTTGCTGCGCATCGGCTCAATAGGCAATTACAGGCAGGGACAAAACTCTATACAGGTGGCACCCCGAAATGTTGGACATCTGTGTGGACCTCCATGCCCGACGCTGACCCTGGAAGTATTGTCATGATTACCATGCCTACTGCTATCATGAAGATGAGCCCTGCCAGTGCCATACGAAATGTATGTCCTGCGTTGTCCCAGCTTGGCTTGTGGAGGCCGAGGGCTCGCATTTGCATCATCCGCCTTTCAGCTGCTTCTTCCTTCTCTCTGAGTAAGGAAAAATTTATAGTCTTAATTGTTTTTACTAATGTCAACAAGATGAAAAAATGAATTTAACAACAAATGTTTTCTTAGATAACAACACATGTAAATGTTTGGTTGAAACCCACAAGCATGGTTTGATGCTATTATAAACAGGTCAAATCTGGCATATTAACCAGTAATCAGCAGATCCTGACATGGCCAAGGGACACAAATTATAAAGAAGCAATGTCTGTCAAACACTGAAGTATTGTGTAACCAGATACAGTTTATGAGGACTAATTGCTAGTACTAAACCACAGATGATCATTAAAATGTTCACAATTAAGCTACTGTTTTAATTTCTTCGGAATATTTTCTCAGTACTTGAATCGACAGGATTTTGGCAAAACTGTCTCACAATGCTTTGCAGCTTACTAGAAGTCTTGACCGAAATTGTGCTATTTGTACACAAAAGTTGCAATGAAGACAGTAAAAACATGTGCCTAACCTCTCGTCCTCCTCTTTCGACTTCTCCACCTTGTCCATGACATCCTCCAGACTCTGACCAATATTGTTCTGTTTCTCCCGGAGGTCTGAAAGTTCATGGCCCAGTTTGGCTTTCACACCATCTTCAAACCTGCACATCACAAACTCCAGTTAGACGAAAGAAGACATGGTATTAAAATCCAGCCAGACAAGATGAAGCTTATAGTAACACTATCAGGAAACTTAAAATGATATGTTTGCCACTGGTACCAAGCCTGAGTCTGGATATGTATTTAGCCTGTGATAGGCTAGGCCAATTTGTCGGTCTGTTTTCAAAAGTGTGTCCAATATCATAGGGAATATTTTCAGAATAACTCTTTGATTTTCATATGTCTGATCTTGTAAACTCAAAAGAATGTGACATAGGCTTAAACCATGCATATCTATATTGTCTGTTTATTCCATGATGCTCTTGACAAAGGGAGATAACCTTACCCTCTGTGATATGCCTCTTCCTCTTGTGAACCCTGCTTTGGTGGCCCATTTTCCTTACTTTCCTTGATCCTGTCAAAACCAAGATTTTATTGATAAATTTGCTATACAGTAAACAACTGAATTAATAAACATGGCCCTAACACTGATTACATGAGAAGGAAAATATAGATGAATTCTCCTAAATTAAGATCTCTTGAAATCGTTACAATGCTACCAAAGAAAGTTTGCTTATGGATCGAAAATCAAGCTGGTACTGTTGTCGAAGTGCAAATAAATGGATAGGTTCTCTATTTGGAGACTCATTTCTTAATGCAAGATCATAATCATTCACATTTCATAATGCACATAAATGGATAATAAGCCTGGACCAATTTATTTTCTTGATTAAACAGAGGAGCCTACTCCAAATTTGGAAATGGTAAAAAAATAAATATTATCTCTCTTTGAGTGAACAAATGCTTTAAACAAAATATATCTCTTTGTATTTTTGTCCAAACTTTTCTGAGAAGTTTTCTTCCATAAATTAACTTCATATATATAAGGTACTTATTGAATCAACTAACACAAACGTTTAAATCCAGGTATCTTCTTATTTATCTTTTTCCTCTTGACATGTTGACCAAGAAAATGTATAAAAGAATAATCAAGGAAATAATTATGGCCCAATATTATTTTATGTATCTAATGCACATGTTGTTGCCCTCACTTTTCTGTGGAACTATCTCTGGACAGTGAGAAAGATGAGCTCTTGGAAGACTGTACACTAGCTTGGCGTTCTAAAGAGCCGCGTCTAAAAGTAGTAGCTACTGCATTTCGCATCTGCGTATTGCCCACTAATGCTTGGAATCTCTGCCGGGGATCCTGAACAACAAGCACATGGTGTTACAATCACATTACAGGAGGATCTATGATTAAATAAATGATGTGACTATGTTTCCCAACACCTAAATTAAATTCTTACAACTTTCATTGAACAATGACATACTGCATATAAATATAAAAGGTTACATACCACTATTTCTTTCCTTCATTGAACTGATGCAGAGCAAAGAAATGTTTAAATTATAATGGCTGAATTAAATATGATATTATTCTTGGAATAAATAATTGCGCATCTTGTCAAGTTTATTGTTGTGATCGATATATTATGAATATATGAAAATTGTTTATTTTTGTTTCTTGTCTTTTCCAATTTTGGTCCATGATCAAGGGATGAATATAACTAAATAATGACACGCTACAGGAAATCTGCATTCAAGACATTCACAACAAGGTATAATTTCCTGGTGTAATCCGTTATTTTGAATCCAACTGACTTGAGAACATCCTCTGTATGGCAAACACTCTAAACGGTGACAATCAACAAGTGACAATCAACAAGCCAGGCATTGTTATACCCTCTAATGCACATTTTCACACGCTTTTCTCAAACATCCCAACTAGAAAAGCCTACAAGGGTACCCATCTTCCTTTTCAGCTCCCATCTCCCTGTTATGGTAATTTTATTGGTGTGCCCCCTGGACAGGGGGTTAGGGAGAGTTCTGTGGGGCAGTCACAGGGAACTGGGGGGAGTCATACAAGGTGGGGGTGTGTGGGCAGGGCAGGGATCTGGACGAAAGCATCAAAATTATAGGGACTAAATAGTTAGTCAGCTTTAGGGAAAGTGATGATTGTAGTATTTAAATATGCAGAGTAATGCATAAGGGTGTTTGGTGGTTGTTGCTATGGAGGATTGTGGAAGGTTTATTTAGGGTGGTGCTGGAGGAGGCGGAGGTTGAGGGGTGGGGTGTCTGGACAGTTACATGGATTGTTTCTCTGCTACTGGTGGGAGGCTCAAATTTCACCCCATGACCTGGGTGTCTGGTTTTGTGTTGCTACCTGAAGCACATGGCTGGTGACACCACATCAAACACACATCAGAATGACTCAGGCCTGTCAAATGTGTAATTGTCTCCAATGCCTGATGACCGATGACATTTCACCATCCAACCATTGACACTTTACAACTTACAAATTATACTTACCTAACTCATTAACTAATCTGATATTGAGATGACATTTTGATATGAGCTAATTGTCCGGATCATTCTCATTTGTATAGACTTCCTGTATTTTTACATTCAATGGATTCAGTTACAGGATTCACCGTTTTCATACTATTTACAGTTTTAGTAATATTTAGTGTTCATTTTTTTTTACACATATTTCATCCAAAATTTTAAATGTTTTTTGACAATGGAAGAGTGTGATGTGTCAAAAGTAAATTGCTTGACATGATGATGAATGGTTCAACAATAGAATTAGAGATGTTAATGAATGACAAATTGCAATCATCATTTTACAATCGTGAGGTCATCTTGACATGACCTAATTGCTGCAATTACTCCAGGAATGGAACATTGTAAATGGATGATTTATTTGGATGAATTGTTTGGAATAACTTGCAATAAAATCACTATTGTTAATAAAAATTCCAGAGTTGCTAAAACAAAAAACTACACCACTTATGTTTTATTAATTGTTTTGTTTGAAACTACAATTATCAATAATATTTCAATCTAGTACCAGACAGTGAAACAGTGGATATTGTTGTTTTTACAAAATTTACCAAAATATTATGATAAATCTTGATTATAATTAGATGGTGCTATCACAATATTTCAACTGACAGAATAAAATTTCACATTGAAATAACTTTCAATTCATTCCCAAGTTCAGACATCTGAAAGAAAAAATATTCAAAATACCGGAAATCCTAATGTCCCTTGAAATTACATCATGCTGAATAGAACTATTCAAATGAGAACTAGGGTGGGTTTTGTGTTACAATCCATTTTGACAGAACAACTTCAGAAAGCTGTCAAAATATTTCTTTCACATTTAATTGCCCTTAAAGTTTCACAATTTCTTAAGCGTCATCATCCTGTCCTAAATATTCACATTTAAGTTTCACACGATCCTTGAAACAAAAGTCAAGGCTGAACCTCATCTATGAAAAACAATTATCACAATGAACAAAAGCTACTGAAGAGCGTGGTCACACATATAATTAACTGGACACGAGAAATAATGAATATGATAAAACAAGAGATGAGAAAGTTGGGTGGAGGGCAGGATGACCGATAGCATTGATCTCCGCAGGTGGGGTATTGTGAAATGTGACATGTGGAGGACAATGGGGGTCCCCCTCAAGGCCTGTACCAGTCACAGTTGGGGGGACACGTATTGTTAGTGGGGACAGGATGATAATGTATGCTGGAACAGTCTATGGGAAAAATCTGACACTGCTACTGTACAATGGGCACACTATGGGTGATTTACTTTTGACAGAGGAGGAATAAACGGTGATTATGATGAGAATTAATGAAGCGGATATGACATTCTGGTCATTAGGCTATTTTCTGACTGTTTCCTGAAATCTCTGGAAATATTTGTAAGGTGACTAATTGATTTTAAGTGGTGGATGAAAACTCTAGAGATGGGAAGTGATAATGGTTGTTGTGCATTACGTAACCCTGAAAGGAAAACATTTCAATTCGTTGATGCATTAGGATGGAGTGAATGTGTGAGAACAGTCATCATATCTAATACTGAATCTAAAAATAACACTGTAACAGTAGATGGTTAGTTAAGTGAAAAAAATCTGTCTGAAAATTTATTCGGAAAGTGCAAAGAAAATTAAGATAAAAGTATTTTGACAAGCAACTGTTAGTGGACAATCTTGCAATACATGTGCTACATAAGACATCACACACATGTATCTACTTTCATAGAAAAACTACTGCTATCTACTCTATACAAGCAGAATAAACATTGGTAGCATGCAAATTAAACATTCACAATAAGTGTCACTTATTAAATCTATTATGTCATACTTCATAATACCACAGTACAATTATTTCAGATAAAGACAACTCAATTGTTTAAAAGAAATATGTTTTGATTAATGCCAAGTTATTATATCAATGTAAAATGATTATGTTTCTGTCAATAAGTACATAGTACTTTAACCATTAGCAATTTAGCAGATACCGGTGTTTCATTTACAGAAGATGATCACATGTTCAACATGTTTCCTGTTCAATAGCAAGAACAAACATTAATATGTGACTAGATTATGATGCTGAATAAGCAAATCTTGCTAGCCATTTGCAGGAAATTAGAATCACGAGTGAGTTGGGTTTAATGCCGCTTTTAACAGTATTCCAGTTATATCATGACATGTCAGCTTAATGTGGGAGGAAGCCCCAAGTGATGCAGGTCTGAGACATTTACCACTTCGGTGAAACCCAAGAGCACGGGTATGGTGCTGACAATCGTAGAAACATAATCGGGGCGAACTGGGATTCAAACCCACAATCATAGGTTTCTGGCGTGCCCAAGGGACGCAACTCTGCACAGCGAATCCCGGGGCCTTAGACGACTGGGCCACCCGTGCCTCCCAAATTAGAATCGGTTAAATATATGCAACTCAATAGGAACAAACTAATATTGGTTTGAGATCGTCATAGATAAATCATCACAAATGCATACAAATATATGCAACATGATGCTTTTAATAGTTTGTATGAAAAATAAGCTTAATCACTATTTTATTTTATTTCCGCTAAAGAACCGAGAACAATATGTGTACTGTTAAAAGAGTTGAACTGTTACATGTTATCCGACTATCGGACTCACCTCATCATCAGTTACAATCTCTTTACTGCCTCCATGCTGCTTGGGTTCCGTAAAGAAAGGATAGTCCTATGAAACATGCATGCATGTCAGTTAGAAACATCTACACTAATCTGCTACATGGCACTACAGAGGCGTAGATCCTGAAAGACTAGCGGAATTAGTACAGAGCATGTAATTACTGTTATTGTTTCTAAACTTGTGTTAATAATCAACAGGCTCGAAAGACTCCTGGCATCCATATTGAAATCTGCTTTTAAGTATACACAATAGAATCTTAATTGGAGGTCAAATGAAAACTATATTTTAGGCCAAAAATAATAGTTTGATTTTTAAGACAAAAAACTATTTCAAAATAGTATATTTTAGTGTAATCAAACTTTAATTTACATAAATTTGATTAAATGATTTACTTCAGAACACAAATTATGTTTACCCAATATGATACTATTTTGAAATGAAACAGAAATCATGCATAATTGATAACAGGACAAATCTTTCTTCAGTGAGTAATGTAAACAGATGGCAACTAGGCTAAACTCAAATACAGACTTGTGATGTTTATATTCTCATAGTGATCCATCTGCTGTCAAACAACTGACCACAGATACAGATTTATTCACACATGTTATATTAACAATGTTTTCATTGGGAAGCCTCAGTAAATATTGTCGTCTCTAGTCTGTCAAGCGTCACCAAAGGTGTATCACTACAAGAGAGAGTGAAGCAGTTCTTATGACAGCTGGCAAGCTCAGCATTTCGGAACACAGGCCTAACTTGTGCTTGCTTGAGATACTTTCTAAACACCACTCTTGAGAAGGTGTAGCAACTCTTTATTACACAAAGACGGGGCTGAAATAGCATGATTGGAGTTTGCTTCCTGTTGGAGGACAATTTTTGATAGACATTTGACAAGATAAAATATAACATATGGCAAACCACAACATAATGCCCCTGTTTAGGGGACTGGTGTACTGTAATACATTATTCATAATAAGGTTGACAGGTGAAAGGATCTTGAAAGAGGACATGGTTTATTATTTGTAAATTTCTTTGAAAATGTGACTCAATAAAAAAAAAGTGGGTGATTACAGCTTAAAGAAGATGAAAATAAGAAAAAAAGAAAATTTATTGAAATCAATTATTTATTGTTAAAAAAATATATACCTTTGAACGGAACACCTGAATTTTGAAATAAACCGCCAATTATATTAAAAGGCATTTAATATTTTCAAATGGTGACTAGACAGTTATGATGAGTCAGACAAAATCATACTTTCAGGCACTGTCAAATGAAAATTTGCAGAAATGAATCATATTATTCAGTAACATACAATTTGGGTGTATTAAAATGTTTAATTAAGTCAATCAGTTTTAAATTTATCATCATAGACCATAGCCAATTTCTTATCACAAAAAATCAATTACAAGTGGGTGTAAAACAAAACAGAATAGGGATCAACATCACTGCTTGGGTAAGGGGGATAAACAGTGGGGATCTGACAGGGTTAAGATGCTGTTAAATCACAATATGCAGCAACTATTTGTTCAGGTGGATACAGCCTTAAGCCAAATGGCAACAGACAAGAGGTAACACTCAGGGGCTAGGTAACACAATTAGGGGAGAAAGAAAGTATGGCCCATACATAAGGCAGAAGAAGGGCTAAGAACAAGTCCTTTAATAAAAGTGGCACAAGGTTGTGAGGTAATTATGAGGCAACAGAGCCTCCTCTACCATGGACTGGATGTAGCTGGGATGAGAGGACTCCTTGTGGGATATGTCATCTAGGGCCAGGGATAGGGCTTGTCCTGGTAGGGGACTTATTGTCTAGAGGTGTTAAGAACATGATACACCTCACCTAAAGGGATTTGCTATTGTTTTGTGTCTGTCACAGTCACTAAATGTCAGGATTAACAAAAGATTGGAGTTTTTTGTGTACCTGCCTACTTCCAGCTCTCCAGTGACCAGATTTCAATGATACTCCTGATACTTACATAACTGCTAAAAACAAATTAACCTTTGGACAATTCTAATTGCATTTGGGGCAAAACAGTTTGAGAGATATTTTGCTATTGGACATTGATTGGTACTTGTGTGAAGACTGTTGTTGACCCTTAACAGTAACCTAATGATCACTCTTTTGTCACACATGTAGCTAGGCCCTTCAGCAAATTGTAGTAATGGACTATTTGGTTGCAAGCAATTTATATGCTTGTGATTATCCTGCAAATCTTTTCAGTGTTCATGACACTCTTACAAATGTGTTTTCAGTCAGTCAAAACTACATTTAATGATTGCTCTTGAGGCTATAGTAAGTAGAATGTATCTTCATCTTCATTACAGGGACACAATGGGATGATCATTAATAGATAACAGATCAAATCATGCATATCTGTAAACAATGTAAGTTCCATCTATCTACTGATTAAAACATTTAACATGCAATACATGTATTCAGATAGAAATATCTCCACTACTATATGCACATTCAACAGATGCATGCATCTAAGGCAGGTAGTGACAAATACATGCAGCAAGGAAGAATAATTTCATATTAGAACAATTTGGATTATGAATTAAAAATATCCTTAGTATGAATAGCTAAGATAATTTTGGATGAAGAGTGGTTCGATGCTGTGTCAGTGTCATATGATTATGAAAAAGGTGATGTGTTGTAATCCAGGTTAGCATGGGATCAACATCAGTAGCGATGTCCCAATACCACAGAGTGAGAACTTTGGCACCACAAAGGATGAGGGAGGTATAGCTGGACAGGAATGGCACTAGACTCTGATAACACTGGTTACATAACAGCGGTCCGTTACATTATGTGTAAAGCTATTAAGTATTTGATATGCACATGTTATCAGACATGCTGTAAATATCACATGGGATTACAATGCATCCCTGATAACAATTGACAGAAGAAGTGAATGATTATTTAGATTACAAGATGAACTCCATGGAAACAGGATAACTGTATTTGCATGTTTCAGTGAGGAAGTGGATATCTACAATCAATCAGGCCTTGATGAATCCAAATTACCTAGAATCACTTCTACAAATACAATTTCAAATACACAGATTACCATTAGTCATGAGTACAGTGTTTAGAGTGTTAGTTAGGCAGGTGTTAACGTGGGGGAGAGATATGATGTAATATACAGGTAAGCATAGGCAAACTGTGCAGACAGATCTGGGCTAATGTTGAGTCATCATTGGTCCTTGTGTGAGATAAGAAACAGATGATGATAGTAATTAATATTAATTACATGTTGAGTATTAATAAGCAAAGATGAGATGAGCAGAGATAAAGATTTACAAATATCAGAAGCAGTTAGCAGGTGTGAGGTGCTCTCTTATCAAAGTCTGAAATTGGAACATTATTGATATATCTGATGAAATGTTACTGACAACAGTTCATATTGAGATACAAGGTTTTGTATTTCTGATACATTCGTACAAATTAACTCATCAATCTAATTTTAACACATTTAAATTTACTTAGCCAAATAGATAAATATTATTAGATAAGAAAATATTGCTAGTAGAATATTTTATCATAATTAATGATTTCCTATAGATAATTTGAAAATGAAAACACTTGAGAACAAATTAGTTACACTAAGAATTATCAATATATTTAGGTTAGAAAAGAACTATTATTATTATTATTTTTCATTGTTTCACAACAGAATGATATTGATGCAATAGAGACATGAGCAAGTGAAATGTGCTGTAATAAAGTGAAATGGTGAGATAATATGCAGAGAAGCATGTGATACAACAATAGTTGATAGAAAAAAAACAGCACTTTGCCGAAAGAAGCACTGTAGAGCCAGGCAAAGTGTTGAATGATGGGGTGTGCACAGACGGTATGACCACGTTGTTTGTGGGGGTGAGGTTATGATCCTTACCAATGATGCTGAGTGTCTGAGAAGGGGGCTGCCTGCGCCACCACACATCCGCGGCAAGACAACCTCACTTCTCCGTCTTGTCTACAGGACACATCATATAGGTTGGCTTATACTCTAACAATTCTCTCTGGGATACTTCATAATCACACAAAGCAGGGTTATATTTGGGACCTTTTAAGGGCAGATTATATTCACACTATAAGAAAAAATGTCATGTTTCAAATGTAAATTCATTAAAATAGATTCAAAATATTTTAGCTTGGATACAGGAAAAAGTTGGGCTTCTTATTATAAATTTGCAACTAAGCAAACTTTATGAAGTGCTGCCACTGCCACTGGCTTCAAATAAAACCCTGAGATGAGACTTACCATGGTTGATCAAAAGTTTGATAATAAAATATGATGAACACAGCGGTAGAAACTAACATTTTTAGTCCACTAGTCCTCACAATAATAACATATAGCAAAACCCTTAAAAGTGGCAAATTTCTATTAGTCCTTAAGATATCTTAACTACTGAGCAGTTTTGCAAGGACTACAGTATATAGTTATTCCTTCAACAAATCTATGCATGTTGCTACGTCTGTTACCTCGAAGTCATCAGGGATACCAAGGATAAGTTTGTTTCATGTAAACAAGTTCATACCAACTGACACCACACTAACGATATGACCACATGTTCTTGCTGCCATTCTTAAATATGTGTTTCAGACAAATTCCCATGGGAGACCTAGAAATAACAGTCTAAACTCCATGTGCAATAAAAGATTCACATCTTGAAATCTGTTATTACAGAATCTGCAACTGTAATTTAGCAATGACACGGACCATTCAACAACACCCTCCCCCTAATGCCGACCACCTGTGCCAAAACAACAGTGAACTGTACTGGTTCGGTAGTCATTTCCAACACAAGGGAGATAACTCCAAGAGGACTGATCCTGATGACTATAAATCTTGACACTTGTAACACCATCTGTATAGAATCTAGCACCAGGAACACCTGAAGTATCCTTGCTGAGAGGAACTGATCCTAAACCTGTGTAAACATCTAGATATTTATGGAGATTGGGCTGATGAGTTATCAATGCTTGTATGGACGGAGAAGCAAGTGGGGGGCTGCCTCATCAGGGAAACTGATAGGTCACCACGGCAAGATGCTGGTATTGTCTGTTTGTTCTAATGCACTAAACTTGTTGAACGACAAGATAGTGATGGATACGACTAGAAATATTGACATGAACAGATGCTTGTGAAACTTGTCAGTTTTCTTATTTGGAAAATAATCAAATCTGTTGTTGACTTGTCTGCAAGAGTAGCAGCAGTGGTGTGTGTTGCAAATAAAATGAGCGATTACTGGGGTTATGTGATAACTGTATCAAATTATTGAAACGCCATTCATTCATTGTAAAATGGATGTTACTACTGCACAAATCAGTTCAAAGGATGAACAATGCATGAGAACATCTACCTGCAAATCATATTCTGAATGCATGTGCAAATCACAGCAAACAAATATATGCCCACGTTCAAAGAGCATTCAATGTATGGTATAATGCAACCAAAAATATAATAAAAAACATAAAACAAACAAAAAGCTGATACAAATCAAATCTACATTTAAAAATGTTTGATGCAGGACTTTAACACTATAAAGCAAAATAAAACTGAAGCATTAAATTAAGCAAACTGGCACAAATTGACAACTCAGTTTGACAACTACAATGGAAGCATGAAAACGGATTCTACAGGACAATGATACAGTTCTCAATGGCAACCAACATCAACCGTAATAGCTACATCTATAGCTGACTGATTATGTCTAGATCTATACAACACCAGCTGACTGACAGAGAGAGAGAGAGAGAAGAGAGCAAGGTCAAGGTTGTGGACCATCCAGTACCTTCTCCTTAGAACCACCTGGACTAGGGGATCGGCTACGAAGATGAGGAAGCTAAATTGTCAAGTTAAACCAACATTTAGTGTCTGGCAAATGAAATCAAACATAGACAGATAACATCCCTAGGCCATGTTCTACCAAAGGCGTTATGACTGTCATAAGTCTATATTACAGTGTGGGAGTTATAACAGACACAGCATTACCCTTTCTGGAATAAGGTCCTAAAATATAACATAGCTTCAGAAAACATGAACTCTACCAAAACATGACAACTACCACAAAAAAAACCACTATCAAATGTGTCTAAAGGAAAATCAATATGTACAAATTTCATGACATGATTTAATAAGAGTGAAAAGAATGCAAAAGTGTCATCTCCGGAACTACAACATCCAGTGATGTCCATGAATAAAAGATATCTTATATTGATAGAGAAATTTCTAAAAAGTATCAATAATTCGGAATCTGAAATCAGTGAGTGACAGGTAATCATTGTCACCTGGTCAAGAATCACATGTAAGGACAATACATACCCTGAGTGGGGCAGACAAGGCAGCAACTGACATCGACCGATTGGACCGATCTGTGAGGGAAATCATCACAATAAAACTGTTATTAGCAGGAACACAGGCTCCAAACATTTTTATTTGAGAATAAATTGTGTGATGATTCCTTTTTAATGTTTGTTCTACATAAATCCAATATATATAGGAATATAGGAAGGGACAATATATATAATGAGAATAATGTACAATGATGAAAAGCTAATTGTGCTTTACATAAGAAATAATCGTCATACTTTTGGGAATATATTTATGAGCCTGACACTTCTATTTTCAAAACTAAATGACTGATGAAGGAGTTTTGATTCCTGTACATAACAGTGCAAGGAGTAAGGCAACAAACCTAGATCATGAAGAACAGACTGCCCAAAAGGCTTGTCGTGCAAAATTTTTCTGAAAAAAATATAATTAAGCAAATGATACATTATGAAATGCAGTGCTGAATGTATATATTGATGACAAGATGATTAAAGGATAAGATAATAAAATTAATGTGCTTAAGTTGTGTAGTATTTTCATCAATATGATTCAAACCAAATGTTTTGGAAAACAAGTAATAAAAGTCCCAGAGAAGCTAAAGATTTCGGTTTGTTATTATCATTTATTGTTGATCATATTCCTAAGAAAACCACTTTTATAAACCCCTTCAATTGTGCACAGAAAAATGTAATAAGTAAGGTAAAATCAGAGCTACTTTAGTGTGTAGATTCCAGGGCTGAATGGGTCACCAAGACCCCATACTTGTCAGAGCCAGCAAGTGAGGACAGATAATGGTTAAACATCTCACCTTGTACAAAACAAATAAAATAGTGCATCTACCAGAGGCAAGGGAGTTAACTGAGTTAAAGTTCAGTTTCCACCCTTGCCAAACTGGGCTGGAATTTTGGAGTCATATTTTGGCTGGACTAACAAGTCTATGCAAAGTCCAATCAAAATCACATAACGAAATCGACATCCGGTTCATGAACAAATATGGCGACTGTCGATTGCAGGATTTGCAAAGCATGTGAACCATCATCAACTGATTGTCGAAAGATATCTTTACAAAAGTTTTTTTATTAATCTATGTTCACAAGTGATTTGATGCACCTCGCGCGTATTATCAATCAGATTGTCTTGACTGGGTGCTGCAATTTTGTTTGAAACAAATGAAAGTGATATGATTGGTGGAATCTCATTGCTGAATAAAAGGGACATAACTTGTAACAGCCACTGGTGGCACTACAATTGAGCTACAAAGAATTCAAGTGTAGTTCCACAAGGGTGAAAACAGGATTTTGATAGTCAGTTAATGCCTAGCTTTGGGAAGATAAACATCGTTACGTAAAAACATATAAATGTAAAAAGCTACTCTGACATGATAAAAAGTTATCAGGTGGTTATAATGTGTAGCCTGGCTGATTGTGTATCATCTTGCTATCAGCCACTTGTTTGTCGAAACTAGATTTGATTATTTATAGGCTATCGTGATAAAGCTGGAATAGTCACTAACTCAATATCAAAGGGAATTGTGTTCATAAGGAGGTTAATAAATACTGAAACACACAGAAAAGGGATGGGTATTGGCATAAATTCCGTATTGCAATAAAATGCAATACAATGTGCTGCATTGCGATACGTCCTGCAATATATTTTTAGGGATGGGTACAGGCCAAAATGTTTCCTACAGCTGCCCTACCTCTGTTGCTCGGCATGGCCTCAACATCAGGGTCAGCCATGTTATATTAAATTAAATTAAATTAAATAAATTATATAAAATATGAAAACTCCAAAGTGATCTGACTGTATTGCAAACATTGGTTCACAGCTATCATATCGCGATATGCATTCACAGAAAGTTTGTATTGCAATTTACCGGTAAACCGGTAATACAGCGCACTCACCTGGCGTCCTCCAGCTCAGCGTGTTCCTTGTCATAGAGGGACCGGAGATGGTTGACGTAAGTGATCATAATCTCCATGGCTGTACTCATCCGGTTCTCCTGTCAAATAAAATAGTTTAGATGTGAGATCATCCGCAAAATAATTGTCTTTTTTGGACAATTTATTTGGTTATTCAACACATTTATTGTGAGGAGAACCGGATTAAAAGACGACACCAGTTTCACAGCATACAGCTACAGGTAGATGAAGCTGGACAGATAGAAAGAGGGGACCAAGATTGAAACGAAAAATTTGTGAGTGAGTGAGAGAGTGAGTTGGGTTTAACACTACCCTAGTGTTTCAGTTGCATCATGGTTTGTCAGCTTGAGGTGGTAGGAAAGCTCCAAGTGATGCAGGTCTCATACATTTACCACTTTGGTGAAACCCATGGGTATGGAGTATGGACACAGTAAGATGATAGCAAACCAATCAGGGTTCTTCTTTTAATTTGAACCCATGACCTTAGGTTTGAGATGCAACTCTGCACAGTGACTTGTAGGGCCATCAGGGCCATCAATGCCCCAAGAGAAATACAAAAGGAATAACTGGCAAGGGGGCTAGAGAGAAGGAGCATTTCAGAGACAAGAGGACACATGAAAACCATTGGGTAGATACGTCACTTATGGTGGGTGGGGGATGTTTCTGTTATTAGCCCACTGACTGTACATGTTAACATATGTTTCCTCATTACTCACAACTCTTTATATCTACAATGTAGCCTCAAAACTATCCCAGTGAGTCATGGAGATACGTTTTCTGTCTGAAAAGATTGTTCTGGTTTGAGATTTCAGTCAGTGTCCGACTTGAAAAAGCCTTTCAAAGATTTCTCACGGCTGTACACCATTATTTTGATCTCAAGACTGGCGCCAGCAAAACATTAGTGTCTAGAACAAGGACTTGAATAAACTGCATCACAATTACAGTAATATGTCATCATTTAGGATTGTTGTGATCTTGAAAGATAATATGACATTTTTTTTAAGGACAATTATTTCTTCTTTTTCATCTTTCTATAGATTAAGACTGATCATAATTCAGTTGCTATTGTATAGAACACACACCATTTACCTTCATTACATATTGAAACACGAAAGCAAAATGCTAGAATTAATTGAAATAACATGTTGGTGATCAAAATCTAGAATTACACCACGTACACATCCGTACATGATTTGAAAGGGCAAAGTAAACCAAATGGACACCCAGCAATGCCAGGGATACTAAAGTAGTGTAACCAGTAAATCACATGGCGAGGATTGCATCCAAAGTCAGTATTTTCTCAATATAACTGTGGACCAGACAAAGATTGAACAGGTTGATAAGGGTGTTTGTTTGAGTCATTGATCCCCAGACAAACAGAGGGGCTGACAAGTGAATGTTGACACTGGGTATTGTGAACACTGGGGCAGTCCTCCAGCTCCTGTAGCTTGAGACAACTGTCAATACTCCTGGCCTTATGACATCAATGCAAACTTAGTTTTACATCTTATTTCATGACGTGGACTTTGTGTGTATGTCAAATGTACCAACATGGCTTGCATGGGTGGGTGGAACTGTTAGTGTAAGGATCTACTTAGTTATGCTAATGTTGCTAACTCCACCTGTTGGTATAGTCAGAGAACTCGGGACGGTTACCTAAACAATCCCAACAACAACAATTTTCAGCTTAATCTAAATCAAAGTAGATTATGCAAAACAGTCTCATGACTGATAATGTTGACCAAAAAATACAGCATGTCATAAATCCAGGGTCTGGTCAGATGGTTTGGAATGTTGTTGGTCCAAAACACTTGGTCCTTCGTCCAAGGTATGACATGATGCATCCCAAGTGTGTTGGTCAAGAGGTGGTAATAATCAAGTTCATTTCTTCTAATCCAAATAAGATTTGATGTCACCATCCCCTTATACCACCAGATAAGAAATCAGGTCAAAAGGCTACCAGCCTGGGACCTTCATTGAGTGACATTTTGTGAACACTTTTAGAAACAGTGTAGCAATATCATGGCTTCAGGTATTCCTGGGACAAATTCACCATTTTGTGAAGAAACTCCAGCCCAGGTCTTATGGCTCAACAAGCATTTCTGCTTTAGTCTGTCTGAAAATTCAACAAGAAGGCATTTTGCACATTTTCTTTAAGCTATGACTGCAATCATGCCCATATTTGGCATATGTCAATGGGAAATTAATGCATAGCATCATATTCAAATTCAGAATTTTCATCCGAAAAATACAATTTTGTTCATTTAGTTACCGTATTTGACGTAATAAGCGCCCGGGGCGCTCTCAAAATTAGAAATAAGGTGCTCTTAATAGAATATGATTTTGGTGAAAGAGTCGAAAGATCGTAATTTTTATGTGGTTTCTGCTGACAGCCTGAAATGATACAAAAGAAAAGTATGTGCGTATTATACACGACAGATATATTTTACAGAATTTAATTGCCCGTAATTAAGGTTGCATATAACACACGAGTGCGTATTATACACGAATAAATGTACACGAATTGCGTACATTGATCAGTCGGAAGGGTGCTAATTGGGATTGTTCCACAAGCCAATATATTGGCAAATATCGCTGTGGGTGCTTATTAGAGCGGGGCGCTTATTACGTCGAATATGGTATCTGTATTTGCACAGGCCTAAGGCCCTGTGTTACATGGGGGCATGCACATATGCAAGTACAGTGACCTCATTTGCTACGGTCAGATGACACAATGGGCCTGAAACTTATGTCATCTGTCACACGAAACACTTGCATTGAACTCTGAGGTGACAGGTGACACACAGGTCAGGTGGACTGAGTAAACTCACCACAACCCAGCAAGCTTCTTCTGTGGTCGCACCCCTGCCCATGCATGATCAGATAAAGATTACCGGAAATATAGACCAAAAATTAAAGAATAACCAAAAACATTATTTCCACATGTACCTTTGCCATATGCTACATTATTTAATTTGTCATTGCTTTTGACTTTGAACAAAATTCTAACCTTTCATATCAGTCAGCCCATATATTAGCCACCTCATCTTGGTTTCTTGGACTGGAGGATTTTTGACCATTGGATTGTCAGCTCAATTTGTCAATGAACCAAAGGATAATAAAACCTTGCATGCAAACTCAGTAACCTCAATATTTTTAGTCCATCCTTCCAATAGACAAATGGTCAACAAAACTGATAACCACTTACATTATTTGTCATTAGGACAGTACACTTAATATTTGGTCGACTTATTTAAAGAAATGATATGTGCATGTACCAAGGATTTTTCCCAGGTCTTTCCATTTGTGAGTTCTAGAGACTCTCGCTAGTGATTTTTTGGAGTCCCAGGCATGAAAATGGCATCCCACTGTGACCACTGTATCAAAGATATATGAGATTTTCCTAGTTTGAAAAACAACAACATAGCAACTGTGAAAATTGGATATGGTCTGTAATATTTGTGTTTGCTAAAATGGCTACGATTGAACTGGTTGTAATGATTCAAACAGCCATATACTTATTTGCACCCAATGGGAACCTCCATAAAAATTATTTGCATCCATTCTAAATGTTTATGCATATCGAACTCAATACTTTAAATCATGATATACTTGTTGGAACCCAAAGGGAAGATTCCTCTGATATCCGAGTCTAGAAATGAGATCAGTTGATTTAAACTCTCTTTCATCATATAGTCCCTTCATGACTTTTCACACAAAAATTTGCACTAAACTTGTATTCTGAATTGATTTGAATGCTATTAATCAATGAGAGGATGACTAAATGTTTCAGTTCTCTTTTCATCTTTGAAGGTTCTCATTACTTGGCTGAGGGTTACAAATGTCAATGGCCCATCAGGCACGTAGCATGGCCATAACTCAATATGTTATGCATTACAAATGCTGATCAGCAGGAGGATATTGGTACAGTTGTGTTTATCTTTCAATCTGACTTCTAAATACATCATCCGAAAGCACCAAATTTGTGTCCCTTGTTATATGTTTGATAGAACAAAGTTCCCAGGGAGGAAGCAGTCTTCATGATAAATATAACCACAATAACTTTATTGAGATGTTCCCTGCAGATTAATCATACAATCAATGTCTACATAATCTAAACGCTAGAGATAACGATAATTATATGGTCATCTAATCTGCTGTACTGAATTTCAGTGTTATTAATTCACATATTCAATGGCCAAATAGTGATATATTTTGTTTCTTACATCGGCTGTTTGAATTTTATTCCTGAAAGCAGATCTACTTTAGAGATCTACTAATCTGACATTTATTACTTGTAAAAACACTAAGCCGTGACATTTTTACCTGTCGGTAATAAAATGACTCTGATGAAAGACATAAAACCACTGGACTGGTGTTTTACTAGCAGGGATTACATGGATTTGACAAAATTCAATGATGCACAGTTTGAAGTCTCCAAACATTCTGTGGAGTAATTTATAGCTGTGCTTCAAATCTATTAAACAGTAATGCTGAATTTAAACAACAGCGGGCAAAATCCCCAAGCCTCCAGACAAGGTGGTTCTGGGGATATCAAAACCTACTAATTCAATGGCTAGGTGGAACCCATTCAAACAATTGTTTAGGATGACAATTTGAGCTTGCTAGTAAACTGACCACAGAATGAGGTTCAATAGCCCTGACCAGTCATAGGTGGCTAATAGAGTGACCACCCACTGACCCACGACATTGCTGCTCTTGAACCTCAGGGACCATCTCAAAGCCATAGAGAAATGAAACATATATCAGATGCTTATATAAAGGCACACTTAGATACTCTAGTCTAAATAAAGCTGTGGATGAAATAAAGCCTGTCAGCTAGTCTAAGTCTGTGTCTGATGTTCATCAAGCCTTGGAACCTGAAAATATCCATATTTTTCCAATATTGATATGCTCTTTGCGATACGACGTTTGCAGTTAACATAACTTGCAAGGATTACTTTGTGGAATGGCCCCCTGGTAGACTAACATCTAGTCTCTGAAATGAACATATCCTACAGACGAAAAACAGTTGTTAAATTATCTTAATTAAAATATAATAAAAAGGACAGAGCCAAGAGACTCTTTATTTTCAGATACTGACACTGCAGTAATCTAGATTTGCAAAACATTATAGACATTATAGACTTGCATGGGCTGTATTGGATATATTTGTATCAGGGTCTGTATGACAGACTAGCCTCCTGGTATGAAAGCAACATTGGGAAAGCACAACAAGGGTGTTTGAGATAAAACTGTTGAATAGCTGATATAACTGGTGAAAATAAAATTGCACAGAAATGCAGTGAAAATTGTTACCAATGCAAATATTTCAATCGTCACTGTAAAATACTGTTGGTTCCAAATGAAATGTCCATGCACTGAATCTTCTATGAATTAGAAAACACATAACCAAAATCTCCTGATAATATAAAATTCAATTTGACTTTTATGACATGATGATGCTTGAGATGCCCCCTCTCAGCATTGGAGTGTAACAGATTCTCTCTTGCATGTGGTCAGACTCTAATAGAAAACAGTTTCAGTACCACTGGGGCCATATATCAGTAGCCTTCAATTTATGGGGACACAAAGTAGGGAATCTTGATGGCCCATAAAGATCAACCAATAGTTTCTGTTACTTCATTAGTTGTGTGATTATATAAAGTCTACATCACACCTTGCAATCCACTGTACACTGTACACCCCAAAGACTACCCCTGTGTTGTAACTGGTACATAAAGAACACCACTGTTGCATGTTTTTACATAGCCCTTTTTCTCAATACTGTTTGATGATTGTCCATGGGAGTTGAACAGCTCTTTATTGAATACTTTAAGTCCTAACTTTACATAAGCTTTGGCTTAACATACAAGTTTACACACAGTTTAGCTGCTAATATAACCAAAGAGTTGATGGAAGTTTGGCAAGGTTACATAGCAGGTTACCTGATGTACTGTAATGTTCTACACTAGGTATTCTGCACTGGAGCTTGTAGAACAGCAATAACAGACCACACCTGTGGTATCTGCCAATACCTTTTATTGTTGTCAATTTCCTAACAATGGACTGCATCATATTACTGGCCAATGTTATACACCTGTTAATTAAATCAGAAAATCCTATACAGTCTGAATGGAAGTTCATGTAATAAAGGTCAATGAATTGATGTTTTGAATTCCATCAAATCAATGATGAATTTTGTCTGCAGATCGGATGAATTCATCAAATATTGTCTGAATATTTATCCCATCTGAGGAATATCATGATGTACAAAATAATCAGTATTCTTGTTCTGGACATAGATAGTAAGCTGATATCATTGGAAAAATAATAATCCAAATTTAAGTTAAGCGGCCAAACTGATCCAGTGGAACAATCCAGGTACCTGTTCTATGAAGCAATAGTAGCTCTGATTTACAGACTATTGTAAATCTATGATCGAGCATGGGAGTTATGATCAGTGTAGCACTAAGATTACTTTGTGGAAGAGGTCCATGCACAGTGGTAAAACGTTTACACAAAAATTCACCAAAAACTGATGATTCTTTCTCTGAATGTCTCGGTTTCTCCTTGAATCTGTAATGTTACTTTTGCTATGCCTAGGGACCTATGCCAGCTGCACATATAATATTACCTGTTGCACTGCACCAAACACCTCAGCTCTACTGGACACCTTGGCGGCTGACTGTTCCAGGATTTCGATGTGACCCTGGATTTTCTGTATTACATCTCGTAGCTTGGCATCAGTCACCGACTGGTTGAGCTCCTGAAAAGACAAATATCATGTACATTGAGAACTGGAAACAATAATAAACGTAGGCATTATTTCTTAGCTAAATGTTGCTGCTTAAAGACTGTTTGCATTAGAAAAAGAAAACAACTGCAAAAAACACTGTAACGTAATGAATTTCTGCTTCAGGTCAAACATTGACATTGACAAAACAAACATTGTCTGATTGCTTTATGTTTTACATTTGCACTGACCATGACATCTTCAGAATTTGGTGGGCACTATTGCTGAAGTTTGTCTGGCAAGGAATCCTGATAGGATTATCACAACTGAGCATTTCATTGCTGAACAGATTCTGTTCTCATGAGTCACATTTGAAAACTTTAGAAAGGTCATGGAAATGGCAAAACTCAACAGGTATTGTTGCTTACATAACAAAATGTTTTCTAGGCATTCCACTGATGATAACCAGTCTGGCACTGACATATGACAATGATATGCAAGAACATATATGGCATGTAAAATTCCCTTCAAACATACAACAGTTTTCTGTATGTCTGATATGTTTTTATCCGGTAAAAATATAGGTCCCCAGCAACATATGCTTGTAGTAAAAGGCAGCTCTAAGGATCAGGGTCAGGGCTCATTGACTTTGCTGATTTCATGTCATCGTATGCCAATTGTTTATGTTGATGCTCATGATGGCAATCACAGGACTGACTGGCCCAGGCACTATTATAACAGATCTCTGTCTTAGAGCTGGAATGGACATGATATGATATTAGGGGCCATTTCCCCTAAGGAATATGTTGAATCAAGAAATGAGGAAAACTTTCACAAATCATTGTGATAGGTACCAGTAATGTATATACAAATGTGACTTAGGCTGTTGATTTCAACATGTGTATGTTAGGACTAATAACAACACTAAATGCTTGGTAAAGCTAAAAATGTGTCAAACACACTGTCTTAAGGTTTTCAGGAAGTGTTTTCTAATTTCTGAATTATGAGTAAGTATTTGACCTTAGCTGATTTTCTCAGGGATAAAAACAGTACAAACATATGTTATCAAATGCATCTTAATTTTTAGTTTGAAAAGTCACCTATTTCCACTCATGTTAACCATACTCATGTATTTGATCACATCAGAAGTTAAAAACAACTGTATTAAAGAACGGTTCATTGTCAGCCATTTGTGCATGAATGCTGATGTTCATAACAATATTTCAAACATTGCTGCAACTTAAACAAATTTGCCATTTCCATTGGACCAAGAAGGCTTTTATCCAACCATCTTACACCAATTCAATATGGTATTTGTGAACCAAATGTTACCTTGATTGTTTAGATTTCATTCAAATGTATCAGGTCTCTTAGGTCAGACTTTCAATGAAACATCGCTTCTGCTTTGGCTCATCAATGTTCAAAATTAAGGATGAAAGTCAAGGAGTCCTTGTCTTAACCTTAATGTTATTAATTACAATTTTGAGGTACCCAGATTTAAATTCTACTCAGCAAACCTCAAGGATCCTCTCAATTTTGAGACTGCTCAGGTTTATCCTGCCAAACTTCCATATGTAATTGATATTGATTTCTAACACCATGCAGCTTAAAGAACATAAGCTGATGCTGTGAAAACAGTTGACGTAATTCTTAATCTTATTTGCATTGTGAGCATCCTGTTCATAAACCATTTGAATTCTGTATAAAAACTAATGTGATGGGGAACTGAAGAAATATTTGTCATGACATGTTTAAACATTATCGCCTGTTGACCTGTGTTCGTGCCGTGGTGATTAAGAAACCCCTAAAATGCAAGAATCAATCAAAATTCTGGCAAACCTTCATGACAGCACCAGAGTGCTTTAAGGGAAAATCAATAAATGGAAATGAAGATACGTGGGTGATTGGGAGAGAAGGAAGTAATAGCCGTGATTCGTGTAGAATGCTGGAAGTATTCGGTAAAAAGACCATCCTTGCTTAACCTCAGCCCCTGAAGACAGACAGATACACAGGAAGAATATTAGGAACAGAAAATATTTTCAGTTGATCACGTACAATTTCAGACAGTGTGTTTGTCCTCGATGCCCATTGGACATTTTAAGCCAGATCTGTCCAGTTAGCCAGAGCAAACATAACATCAGACTCAAGTTTCTGATAGCAATATATCCAAAGTGGAACCAAGCTTTAATGCATATATATACCAGTGCCAGGACCATCCTATCAGTGAAAGGTTGGATGAGGTTAGCCATATCGGTGCGTCAGTGTTTACCCTCTCTTCAGGGAACCTGTTGGCGTCATGCTAATAGCAGCATCAACAAGGCTACAATATGCAATGCTAATTCAATGCATATATCCAGAAGCATCATGAGGCTACAATATGTAACGCGAATTCAATTCATATATCCAGCAATATCATTGAGACTACAATATGTAACGCGAATTCAATTCATATATCCAGCAATATCATTGAGACTACAATATTTAATGCTAATTCAATTCATATATCCAGCAAAATCATTGAGACTACAATATTTAATGCTAATTCAATGCCTATATCCAGCAGTGTCAATGAGGCAACAATATGTAATGCTAATACAATTCATAATATCATATATCCAGCCCTCTATTGAGGGTACAATACGCAATGCAAATGCAATGCATATATCCCCGTGTAGAAAGCCACAAATTTTGCTTTAGACATATAACAAGTTATCGGTACAATAACAGTGGCTAAAGGCCTACTGAACCCTCATGAATACACATGGTAAGGTATTTATTGGGTTGTATTGATCCGTTATTCCTCCCTTGGACATTTACACACGAATACACAAACCAATTTATTCTAGTGAATTATTTGCATGACTAATTATTTAGTCTCTACAGGATTCTTCAGGCATATTCTTCACATTACACAGCTGATTTTGATGAATTCTCGCAAATTTAATTTAATTTGAAAAACACAGACTTTACCTTCTGTTCAAATATAATAAAAAAGCCTTTTGAGCATATTAATATGTGCTTCAGTGTTTCATTAGGCATGAACTAATAAAGCCATATGTTTCACAATAAGAAAATAAAAGTGACAAAACCCATTTCCATATTTATAAGAAATCTCTGCTGAAAACAAAGTCGATTGTATGATTCCGACTATATTATGAGCATATGTTTATGAATCACTATCAGAAAGTGATGATACCAGGCGTTGGCAACATCACAAACACATGCAAAGGCAAGTCAATTATTCACCTAAAAAACCAAAACCCACAGGAACATATGGTACAAGTCAAAGTAGGGAATTGCATCGGGCATCGTTCTTGTCACTGATTTGTCTTTTGACTAAAAAGCAACATCTTTTAGAGATTTATCATGCACACATATAATTAAATACTCTTGAAACAATGGAATGTAATCATGAATATGGAAATTTGCTTCATATTTGCGATTTGACATATCTGCATTACTGCACTTCCTCATACTTTTGGTTCAGTCACTGGGACTTAATCGCAAGTTATCAACATACCCAGCTGGCTGTTCAGGAGAACTGACTGGACAATATGCTGTTCTGCATACTCTCTGTTCCCAAAAGTAATATTGAGGACAAGATAATTCTGTAATTTTCATAGACATTTACAGGGACTGTTTATTTGATATTATAAACACACATTCTAATGCCTATCCCAATGTCCTTAGAAAACCCTTAAAAACATTTAAATCTTAACTGAAGAACACCATCATTTTCAGTTCTCTGCAAAGCCTCTTGGAGCTCCTTTCACAAGCATCATGTGAAATAAATCATCTTAATTCTAACATTGTCACTTGCAAAAAGTTGCAAATGTTTTACACCCAAATAGAAACTACTCATATTCAAGAATTGCTGGGTGTGAATGTTTTTATATGATCACCTGTTTCTGAAGTTATCGCTTTCTAAAATGGTTATAGCATTGCCTTATTTATAACTAACAATATGATGTGAAATATGAGTGATTTGTCAGAAATATCAATCACCAAATCATTCCTTATCCTAATTACACTCTTAGGTCTCTCCTCAGTGTAAGGTTGTTCTCCAACACACATTAAATAGAATCCTAAATGGGGTCTGATTAAGGAAGGAGCTGACAGTGACAGACAACTAGATGCAACCTACAAAGGACTCACTGATCCTTCAATGACAGTGGTGCCAATGGTATAAATCGAGCCCCAGATAAAGGTCATATCTATTTTACCTCACTTCGTTTTGATGGAGCTATTGTTCCAGAAATGTCCCAGCAATGAATTAGTTTTTTCATTCATGGAATGGGAATAAGGCACAGTATATATAGTGATTTGCCAAAACTCACATTTAATCAATGAGGTGCATCTTAGTCACAGTGTGATGCTACTTCCTTTTCATAACATTGTACAAATAAATTATTCAGTGTCCTGGGGTCCTTGGTGAATATGGTTAAAGTATTTGAACCTAAGCCTGTTACATCTTTCATTGTTAACATAAGGGGCGTGGTAAGACTCCTTTGACTTTCATCCTCAATTTCAAATGCTGCTACTGTTTCAGAAAACATCCCCATAAATCATATACTGGCTTAGAAACTTTATTCCCTTGGTCCAACCTGGAAGCTTACCGGTAATATGTCTGGGTATCTACAGGAGCGGTAGTTATTCAAATGAGTTAGTGTCTACTGTTTCTCAATACATGGACACAGACTGAGGGAGCGAGTAAGGTTTATGTTCCTTTAAGAATATTCCATCAATATCACGGCAGGGGACACCCAGGTCTTAAGCATCATGAGCAATCACTTTAACCATACCTATCAAATAACATCAAGAATTACTAGGAAACGTTCTTTAGTAATTTGAAACACATCTCTATTTTAATAAACAGTCATTATATATTGCCTTGGAACATAAGCGCTTCTTTGTAATGGTTATGTTACATAATTTAATTCCTTTCAACTTAAATCTTACATGGTATAAGAAAAAATATCAAATTAATGAATACATGTCATGTTGACTATTTCGTGTGTACAATTGATATTTGCTCCACCTCGGAACATACCACTGGCTCACGAAAGGGCATACAGCCAAAAATGAAGAAAGAATGATACAAGAAATTGTTTCTTTTCAACAAGTGCATATGCACCATTAATCTCAGATTGAATGGTTCCTTTGAAAATCGACACTGCATTTCTAAGCACTGAATTGGAAATGGTTGGGGAATTTTAATTGATACCCCCACCTAAATGGAAGTATTAATGGCCTACTTTTGTGAAGAAAGGTAATAATGTTCTTGGATCTTACAGTAGAGGATGCAACTTCCCCATTAAGTGACACATAAGCTTTTTGTCGGGGAGAATAATCGTTTGTGATGTTACAGATGACTTGACAATATTGCACCAGCAGCAGGGTTGATTAAAGTTCTTCAAAGGATAGGGGTAACAGGGTGCAAAGTTGCACAGTTTTATTAAAGTTCAGTCGATAGCGTGCTTGAACGACATTAGAAATATTTAAAATCAGTTTGCTGTTGTTTATTACATTATTAAATTCAATAAAATATGAAAATAACTAAAAATACCCCAATGATGCATAATGAATTGAGTGAAGAAAAATTGCTCTTATTAATCTATTCAGTGTTTTTACAGCTCCTGGCATCAAGGGAAAAGTATTTCATATCACACTGTAATTATATTGCCACTGAAGAGGACTTTAACTTTCTTCTAATCTGCAACAGGCAAAATGGACGAAAACCATCTGAATGTTTCTTGTGCCCACCCACCCACTTCTTAATCTTGTGAATTGGCATATGTATAATCCTGATTTCCTTCAAGATGTTGCCTCACATAGTCACTACACTGTCATCAAGAAAACAATCCACTCAAAATATGTAATTTTGGACAAGTGTCCTGAGATGGTTTGGTAACTAAATGAAGTGGTACCTTCCTCCAATACACCCCTTCAGCTTCTTTCCCCTTGTCGTCATTGTACAGTGTAGACTAGCCAACAAAGAATGCGGTCATTCAACAGAATTCTTGGATCAAATTGCCCCTTGCTTATGACATGATTTATGAAGCCCATGCTTAGTGTTCCCTGTCACGGTATTGCCAGGAGTATTGTAAAAAGCTGCACACACACTCATTTGTTTAATACCGTCTCAAGTCAGGCTTTTAGATCAGTTCATTTTCTAGGACACTGACTGATTGTCCAATGTCCAATACACTTTTTTCCAAATTTGGTGGTGATATTATGTTAAAGGAATGTCCCATCAATTGTTGATAAAGTCATGGAAATGTCCTAATGCTGTTTGTCTCCAGCAAAATCACTTTCAGTAATTACATATTTACTTGTTCACTGGTTTTCTTCAAATGCTCTTTGAACACAACCACATGTCAAAAAGGACAACTTCTCAAAATTATGGAACTCTTTCTGAGTAAACTGATCCAACCCACAATATTACAGGGCACTGCCAATGGGCTCATAATAACTACCCTGGATGTTTTGTAGTGTATTGTCAGAAAAAGGCACATGAGTGTACACAAATCATCATTGGAGTAGGTATCCATCTACAGTCAAGTCCTGTTAATCCGAACATCGATGGTTGCATATGATTATGTCGGATTAACGAGTATGTCAGGTAAGCGAAATTAGTATCAACGTTTGTGATCGAAATTCGGACAATTATACGATAGATAACAATTGAAACATGTAATAAAAAAATATAAAATAAATATTCATATTGTTATGTTACATTGTTGGCGGAATGTTTTTTAATCATGCAACCTCTAAAGTTTAACACAAAACAAACGGTTACGGACTGTATGACTTATTCAAAATACTTTAATAGCATAGTCTGGAATGGAAGTTGTAACTTTGAAACTGTTACTGCAAAGCTTAAGAAAGGTGCTTTCTAAGTGGCTAATGTTGACTTCCTGTTAGTCATTTCATTGGTAGGTCATAGTTCGCGAAAGGTTGCAATTGTTCTGGCATGACCTGTAATGGGATGTCCTCGCCGATAGTGAGAACTTGTATCTAATTTTAATGAGATTGAGATAATCTAAGCATGCGATTAATCCTGTTTTCTTTATTTAAAGCATTAATTGTTCATTGTTAAGCAAGTATATCTCGGCTGCCATTGTAATATGCAGCTACCAGCCAAACACGGGCTGTGTACTCACGGGCAGATGACCACCGAGTACGCTGATCACTGTGTCCGAAAAACATGACTGATTAATGTGTGATATCGGTAATTTGTTGCAAATTAAGTGTGTCAGAGTCGGAGTGAGAGACTGTCGGATTAACAGGTCTAAATAGCACTGATTTAATCGGTTCCCATCATTAGTGTCGGATAAAGCTGATTGTCGGATTAACGAGACTTGACTGTAGATGTATGAGCAGTGGCAACTAACAAGTCTACCTCATGTAGGACAAGCTTTACAATGAATACTAATCCTGTACATTACTGAAAACACACTAGTCTATCTCATAGTCCCTGAACCATAACATTTTCCCTTCTGTCAAGCCCTTTCTGCAATGCAAAAGCTCTACATGAAGCATGTCTAGATTTTACCCCTGAATCTCCATACTCACTGGGGCTCCTTTTCAGTTTAAATGTTTCTGTCAAAATTATAGACTAAGCAAATGCACCTACAAATCAAGAACATATCAGACAAAAATCAACAAGTGACTACCAGTGCAATAACAAGTTTCTGTTGTCTCTTGTCTTGTTTGCACATAGAGGATGCGGATGTTGCCACTCAATGTTTACATTGCATGATAATTTAGTATAAGAGGCTCACTTAGATATAAGAGGCTCACTTAGATCACCCTGAATGTTGAGACATGATTTACCTGATGACAACAGGTTGAGTGCTCTACACACAGGTGAGGGAAGAGACATAAAAGCCCCTCACACACTGCTCAACATCTGTTAACATGGCCTAACACTATCTGTGGCTTATACAATCTACTGACCCAGTTCTGAAGTAAGATATGGACTGATGATGTTTTTCTATGACTCAAACTTGTCTGTTTCCATTGACATCCCTTATAGGATTCATGGGAGAAAAAGTATTCAAGTATTCAATTTCAACCTAGTTAAGATCATGTGAGTGAGTGAGTGAGTGAGTGAGTGAGTGAGTGAGTGAGTGAGTGAGTGTGGACAAATGGCATGTGGCCTTTTTCCTAATTTTATCTTTGTTTACAGCAGAGTTTTCTGCATCAATACCAAATTTCAAAAACACATTAAGGACATTTTGGATGATAACAAATCAATGTCTGAGAAAATTAACCACTCTGAAAGCCTTTATCAGTATGTTGTAACAACAAGAGTTGGAACAGGGGACCAGGGTCCTGTTCCACAAAGTGATCTTAGCACTATGACTGTTTAAGTCTATGTTAAAATATGGGAGTTACGATCGTCTTCGTGCTAAGATCGTTTTTGTGTAATGTCATCCAGTTCTGCTCTGGATATCTAGACAGACAGACAGACAGACAGACAGACTGTCTGTCGGATATCTAGAAGTATGTTAGTATACTGCCTGGCCACAAATGATGGATGGAGGATACACAGAAATGTTGAGAGTTATTATCCTGGTCAAGGAGCAATCAAATTGCAAACTCCGATCTAAGAGGTGATATCATGTGTTATATATTATAAGAATATGGTACTTAACATTTCTGCTAAAGTAATCAATCCACATGAAGTGGAGGAAGTCAATGTCTGTGTAACAATAAATTTCCAAAGAAATTCTATACAAGCAATAATTTTTACTTGGAAGGCAGCAGCAGCCTGTATGCAGTAAAAACCAATGGATAACGATGGTATCAGGGTGACCTTGGCCTATTTGCACCCATGTTATTACCAATGAAGAGTAAGTCCCTTACAAGTTGTATCTATTCATAATTCCTATTAAAACTAAATTATAGGTATCACTAGCACCAGCAGGGTAGAGGTGTGAGGGGAGTGCATATGTGATAAAACTGATGATGTGAGAGACTGTTGCTCTGGGTGAGATATGAGAGTTGTCAGGCCATGTGGCTCCGACCTCAACTAGAGGGTTAGCCATGTCAAACTGTCCCCTCTTTTCCAGAACCATCCCAGTCAACCAGTCCTCTCTTTTCCAGAAACATCCCAGTCAACAAGCACTATCTTATCCAGAACCCTCCCTTTCAACCCACCCTGTCATCAGAAGCCTCCCTGCCCACCAGTCCTCTATTCTCCCCTCCCCATCTTCTTTTCCAGAACCCTCCCGGTCAACCCATCCTCTCCTTCAATAACCCTCCCTGTCAACCAGTCCTCGCCTTCAATAACCCTCCCTGTCAACCCTTCTTCTTTGCCAGAACCCTCCCTGTCAACCCATCCTCTCCTTCCAAGAACCCTCCCTGTCAACCAGTTATTTATCAGATTACTTATCAAATTCATTGTCTGCTTAACCAAAGAGAAGAAGACCCCATATAGACCACACTTAAAATCTGCTGTTCTTAATTTTGCGAATGATAAAGGAAAGCAACATTTTTAGGATACCATAATTACTAATCTGAATAAAACAATACTTAAACAAAACATCTTCACCACATTTCTCCATTTAGGTTTACCCTTGTTAAACTCTTGAAGTTGGACTTGAGTATAAAAGCCTGCATCAATTTTCACCCTATTTGTTCCACAGAGAAAATCTATAAACCAAGATAAATTTGAGCTTGGCCTCATGAATATGAAGAAAATGAAAGAACCACTACTTTAAATCCAATTAAGCAATAAATAAAACCTGCTCACCTCTGCTGCATCTCTGAGCCCACCAAGCTCTCTATCCACATTCTCCTCCGCCAAATCTCGAGACCTTTCCTGGATACCTTTCCGTTTTTCCAGGGTCAACTTGTCGGTCTTGAAGGCCAGCGCCAGGCTGCAGAACTTCCTCTACAAACAACATGTCCACAGTTTAAATTTTAGGACTGATTGAATACTTACAAATAATTCTTCATAGTGTTAACTGAGAATATTTCTCAGAATCTATGACTAGATTAGCCACATCTAGTTGAACAGTGATGAAGATCAAATGTAAAACTGAAAGGTTACATAAGGAATAATTTATCAATTATATAACAAATTCAAAAACAGATGCAACCCTCAAAAATAAGACTTCAATATTTTTTCTTGGGATATTCTCATGTATTTGAATGATAATGCAAAGACATCTTATAATCTCAGTATTGAATTATGGCTGAACAAATACATTGAAAGCACCTGCCAGGTATTAGGCCATACTTATATTGCCTATCAAAACAGACTCAGCGGTGGTATTGTTTGGGCTGTTGAGACTAATACATATTAAGCATTTCTAGAGGCATGGCACACTTAATCTGTTTATCCATGTCTTAGTTAAGGCCTACCTTTTGCCCAACAGTAGGTCTGAGGATTACATACCAGTAAGACTCTGTGCTATGTTATGTCACAGATGGAGAAGAAAATATAAACTATGACAACACCTTTTTTTTAATCCATACAGATCCATATATACTGACACTTTGAAAACTCATATTCAAGGTTTTGAAATATTTGGCAAAATGGACACAAAAATGAAATTAAGTTGTTCAGGATATTTAGGTTTGAGATAATCAAATGCAACAATGTTGTCGTACAGGTTCAAATCTCATTTTTTAGATATACTGCCAAAATCATTTTCGTTTTATTCAAGTTAAAGTTGATAATGCCTTTTCAGTGTGTTTCAGTATGTTTTGTCAAATCTGAAAACCTACTTAGAGAAATCATAGATGTAATGACTAGGCAAAAATAATTCTTTTTGAATAATGACAAACAAAATACAGAAAAATATACATACTTAAATCTCATTTTGTAATAATATTTTTTTAACAAACTAATTAATGAAAATATGTTCCTTCGGAAATATTAGACAACTGGGTGAGAAAATAAGTCTTACTTACCTCAATCTCATTTTCAGGAAGTTCATCAACACTGAAAACAAAACGAAGCAAATTAATACACAGATCAAACAATTCATGTTAGACATGATGCTCGGACGCTAGACAGAATCCGATTAAATGAAACAGTAAATGAAAATATAGTTCCATCTGAAAAACAAAAAGAATGATGCTCTGAACACTGTGCTTCTTACCCTTTGGCCACCTTTAGCGCCTGCTTGACTAGTTTGTGAAATGCTGCCATGTTTCACAAGTGGTTAACATGCCAGGAACGGAGTCAGTCACACTTCCCTAGAGGAGCGTGGAAGTACATTGATCACACTGAAGGTCTGCCTGCCTGCACAGTCCAATGTAATGTTAGCCTGACGCCAATCTTTGTTATAGAAAGCTTACTCTGCATGTGATTAAACTGATAAGCAAGGCACAAGTTTCGCAGTTCCTATGACCACTGAGACCCTGTCCGATCAGGAATTTCATGCATGTCAATGAGATTCTCAGACCTCCATCATGATGGTTCACCAGCAACTGCCCAGCATCTGAAATCTCACTCTGACACCTTTTATAAATTGCCACAACAAATGTTCACTGTATTTGAAAGCAAGAGGCATGTACAAAAAGTGATGTTCTGGTGGTGGTCATTATTGTCGAGGTTCCCAAATGATGAATGGAACAAGCTTGTGGGGTCTATACAACTCTGCAGGGATCGGTCATTTGTCTCACTTGACCGCAGGCAGACAGTAACTCACATAGTATTTCCAACTAGTCCAGTAATCCCCAGGTCATTACACTGCTGGGTTATACTCTCATTATTGTCCAGCTATTGTTTTGCCTGCTTCCCTCTCTATGGCATATTACCAGATCTTGTATAAAGGCATATGTCAGCACAATGGGGATTACATGGTAAACTGTTGGTGTGACACAGAATGGATAAAAGAGGTGCATCTCCCAATTGTACTTCTTTAGATTTACTGTGTAAGGGAAAACTTGGTAATGAGGCTCTGCCTGGGATTTGATGATGTGACACTTATCGGTGAGAGTTTCCATTGTTGACCTTCAAGTGTTAGCTGAGTTACAGTAATTGTTATTATAGTCAGTGACTGTAACTATCTGATACAGTTCTATACCCCAATTGAAGTCTTTTGAATAAACCAATCTTACCCAGCTATCCATCACATTAGCAGAAGGTTTTCCAATTCAAAAGTTTTTACTATTTATACTGATCCAAAAATCAATCTATTGTTTTTGAGATGCATGCTTCAACATAAATAAAGAAGTTCTTATCCATAAAATGCTTCATGTCTTCATGCTGCAGTAAACTTGTCCATCTCAAATTCCATCTTGAATGTCATGCTTATGTTGAACAAACCGGCCCAAAATGTCTTCTTATGTAAGAATCATTATACTTGTACACATATCTCAAACTTCGAGATTCACGTTCACATAATATCTCAAACCTAGAACTACAGTATGTGTACAGTTCTAACTGAAACAAACATATTAAGAGAATATTCATTCTGCAGCATCTTCACCCTCTAAAATGTCATATCAACCAAAATGCAAAACTGAATAAATTCCCCCCTACTTTTCAGCAGGGGAATATGTGGGGAATATGATTTGGGCTGTTATCAAGTAATCTCTCCCATGGAACTGTATAATATTGCTTGTCAGACAAAGATAGCAGCTTATTCTAATAGTGCCTCATATGGCTGGGAGCTAAGCCCCAATTGTTGAGTCAGTATTTGCAGACACATCCTCAGAATAATTCCATTTCAGAGGCTTCCAGTATTAACTAATATCTTTTGATAAATGACATCCCTGAGAACTGGGTTGTTTACTTTCTTCAAATTCTGAAAGCTGATATCTTTTCAACCAGGTTTTCATGTTTGTTCAAACTGAATCTAATTTGGGCTGATTATTGACTGATTTGTTTTTCAGTTTGCCAGCAGAGATTGCTATCATTACTAGTTTAGGCACATGGATGATAATCACCTGGCATATCCAAAATTTCAAAATCTTTGTCCAAAGTACAACACAAACAGGACATAAGATGGATTAAAATATTTAAAAAAAGAAAGGCAAACATGTACAATACTTAAAAAAAACCTGATATATCTTTTCCAAGAATAAATATTCATTAAAACCACAATACAGAATAAATCATTTTTGACATATTGTATCAAACATGCTTATCAATAAACCTATAAACCTATATACCAATAAACTGTAACACCTTTAACACCAATTACCCTCCCCTCGGTAATACACAAACAGTCGCGCTAGCTTCTGTAACATTGACAGTTCCATGTAGGGTGGGTGGTATGCCTCAGGCTGAGATAGGACAAGATAAGTTAGTAGGAAAACACTGTGATGTCACTACCACAGGGGTGGTACAACTCCAATTAGTCCTTCACTTGAACCTTGTAGCACCCTCGGTTATGACCCAGAACAGTGGACTAGTTATATATGCTTATACTTCTAAAAGTTCATCATGCAATCTCATACATTAAACTCATAGTGATGATTCAAACAGACATTGTAAGCCTAAAGCTTAAATAAAACATTGTAAGTCCAAAGTAGATCAAGTTTTTAAAAACAAGAAGCTGTGAGGTAAGATCAATGACAGCATTTTTGCTTTTCAATCACCAATATAAAGAAGTAAATGTGAATACTAAACTTTGGAGGAAGTCTATTTTGCTTCCTGCCGAATCCGAATTAATTTCAGCAATGAAAAAACTTCAATGTAGTTCAGTTAGAAGATTAACAAACTATGTTTCCATAGGGTTTGCTTACCTGTAGATTTAACCAAGCAAAATTGAATTTGGAATTGAACGAGCAGGTGTTTCAATTTGAGGTGGTTATTGTGATTTGAAAGCACTGACTGACCAATGGGAATAAAGTATTTTTCAAATTCATAGTAGAACATGGGATGATAAGTAACTGTTAACTGATAATTCATCATGACAAAAAATCAGTTTATATTTCATTTAAATTTCACCCAGATGACAAATGTTTAAATAGATTAATCAAATATACCAACAACGTTTTACAAAATTTATTCTTATTTTGACCACCCAACATATTTTTCCTTTTCTTTCCAAAACCAAGTGATTACTAAAGGCATTAGTACAGTGAAGGTAAAATCAGGCTTGGTGGTTGTGAGAATATTTAACTCACTTGACAGTTAATCAATAGTTTACAGCTGTTGATAAATTTAAGAGAAAAAAGGATTGTTTTATTCACACAGAAATAGGTGTTAAATCTAATTTGAAAGGCCAAACAAGCATGCCTGTCAAAACAGATTAGCAAAGAACCATCAGGGTATTTCAAATGAATAAGTCGTGATCTAGAAACGTCAAATGATTCCACTAAATGTCCTAAAACTTTGACAAGAACAAAAAGTGTCCAATCATCATGGAGTCTGTGTATAAAAATACCCGATGAGTAAACCTTGCAATTATGCATGATTTACAATAGTGTTGAACAAAGCTGCTAATGTGGCAGAACATAAGAATTCATTTTCACACATAACATGAGGGGATGACTTTGGATCTTTGTTTGTTTGCTTCTTTGCTAGTTAACACTGCACTCCAGAATATTCTAGCTAAGTGCCTGCATTCTGTAAATAATCAAGTCTGGACCAAACAATCCAGTGATTGACATCATGAGCATCGATCTACACAATTGGGAAAAAATGACATATATCAACCATATCATCGAGTCCAATCCGATCCAGTCAGTTGCCCCAACAACAAGCATGGGCTGCCGAAGATCAATTCTAACCCCGATCTTCAGGGGGCCTATCTCATGATAATACAAAGAGTAAACTGGTGACTGGTCATACTGAACACAAAAAAAGAAGAAATATTTTTTGAATTTCTGAACATTTGGTTTGAAGGTAAATTTCAATGTCATTTAAAGTAAGAGAGTCATGTCTTGAGGAAGCACTTCACCCTTTGAAAAACAGCTGGTGTCAAGTAAAAATAAATTTTAATGGCTGAACATGCACTGGATATAGGATCTGGTATTCAGTTACATAAAATCCACTGACATCAAATCTGTATCTATTAACTGTGATCATATTTCTAGTAAGATAACATGACACAGTAATAATAAAAACACAAGAATTTTACTACACAACACTTTAAGTACTAATGCTGAAGTACCATGCTTAACAGTACTAAATTTATATTACCAGGTATTAATTTTTCATTCTAATAAGAGCTAAATCCATCCTTGCAGAATCTGACCACCCACATGCAATCTCCTCTCCAATTGCTATTCTAAGGCCACACACAATAAATGAATTGGTTCTATATGGCTTTTACACACAAACCATTCAATGAGGCAACCCTCATAGTCAGAGTGTCTATCACCTACCCTCCAATTACACATAATAACATCAAGTCAGGAATCACATAATCTTTGGTGAAAAACATTCCCTTTCCCATATCCCTGTTGACCAACATTGCAAAACCAAACTGCTAAGGTCAAGAGAAACTTGTTGATTAAATCAAGGAGATTGGGCTCATTACATGGGTGAAGGGATAGGAATAGAACTTAGACAGGGCATAGCCAGGAGGGTTGGGAGGGACAATTATGGGGGAAGTGGCAAAGGCGAAGGTTAGCTAAGATCAATGCTGTCAACTCTGATCAATATCTCTACAGAACCTATCTCTTCCAATCGACTCTGATGCATTGAGAACTTTTCTTGAGCCTAAATCTGGCTACCAAGACGTCACTTCTAAGAGGATTGTTTCAAATTTGAAAGAAAACAGTTTCTTTTCTTAGCCTTAACCATCTCTAGAGAATAGTGTGTAATTTTTTGGCAGAGTAGGCAAAGAAAACTATGACTCAGCTTGATGGACCATGATCAAGTGAACTGAAAGGAACCGCAACCATTGATGTGTCTATGTTTAACATTATTGAGTAGTGCATGCACCAGCTGTTCACATAAAGCATACACTGACATTCGTCTACAAAATAGAGTTCCGCTCAACTCAACGAAATAGCCCAGACTTTTTAAGTATTGATATC